TAAATCTAAATTAATTCTAATATAAATATATTGTTATAAAATATTAATAATTTTATTGGCATTTAATTTAATAAAATTAAATTAAACAATATGATTAATAATATATAATATTAGTATATATATATATATGCAATAGTATAATATAATAGTTATGTACATATTGTGTATAATATATATATATATGCAATAGCATAGTATAATAGCTTATGTATATATTGTATTGAATAGTGAATATATATATATATATATATATATAAAACTATTTAGTACTTAAGTACAACAGAGAGCGCAACAATCGCTATAAAAGATAAATAGATAAACCACTCTATAAAATGAATATATCACGATTATATTTGTGATATGCAAAAAATGAATACATTCTGTTTAGCATTTGTAATTTATTAGTGCTGTCATTTATTATTTTTATTATTAAGTAATAAAGCATATTTCAAAAAAATTTCTTGATAATAAAATTATAATCAAATAATATGCCTGTTGATGTACTTGGATATATATATGCCGCTACAGTAGCGGCTGGTGGTATAATGGGTTATGTAAAAGCGCGTAAGTTTATATCTATATTATTAAATATTTATATATTATTAATATTATTTTACTTTGTATATAAATATTAATACTATTAATATTTATAAAATTATTTATATACTTTTTAATTAATTTAAATTTTATGTATTTGTTTCTTTACTTTACAATTTTTAATTCAGAGATAATTAAAAAATTTTTATAATAAGAAACAAAATTATTTCACTTTTTTAAGAATCAATTCCTTCTTTGGGTGCTGGACTTATCTTTGGATCTGTTTTGGGCTATGGAGCTTATCAAACTTCTCAAGATCCTACAAATATTGGACTTTCTATAGCAGCAACTTCTGTTCTTGGTGGACTTATGGGTTATCGTTATTATAATAGTGGTAAATTAATGCCAGCTGGATTAATTGCTATATTCAGGTATTATTTTATTTTTATAATTGTATTTTATATATATATTTTATATGTAATATAATAAAAT